TAATTAATTCTTCATAAATCATCTTACTCGATACAGTTCTGGAGACCAATGTCAAATCACCATATTTCAAGCTGACAGACATTTTCTCATTACCCAAATAGCTCATGCGGGCACAACCGGGTCCCTTGACGGGAATGAAGGGCAAATTGAAGTTACGGCAACAATCGCAGTGGTTACCGCTACATTTACAGTATTTGGCCAAGGGGCTGGTAGATTCTTCTTCGACCTTTACGGGTGCTTCGGTGGCAGGCGCAGCGGCAGCAGCAGTTTGGGCAACAGTAACCGGAGCAACTGTAGTAGCTACCGATTGGGCTGCCTCTTCGACAACTGAACTTTCCGTAATAGCCGCTGCAGCAGCAACAGCTTCTTCTTCAGCTTGATCGACAACTTCGCTATCGAAAATAATTTCATTTTCACTATCTAGTGGCGCTACATTGGGATCAATTTCTTCGGGTGCCAAATCTAATTGTTTAAAATGTTCGGAAATTTTATCACCACGTTTGTAGGATGCAGCATGGCAGCCGCCAATGAGGCACACTGCCGCTAGGCAGAGGATAATAAAGGAGCTTCGCATTTTCTTTCTTAGGAGGGAAACTTAAACTGGAAATAAATGAGGGGAAGAGTTTTCATTAAAATCGGATTTCATAGAGGACTATTAATAGAAGAAAACTCAGATCTGCGCATTATGTGTTGTTTTGTTAAACAATATTTTTTAAACCAGTATGGAAAGCAGTAAAGTCGGACAGGGCCGACTATATGATACCCTTCACCACTTTGGGTATATTCAACAAATGAATCCTAACAGACGTCGCATTTCTAAGGGACCAGTAAAATGAAATTGGATCCATAACCATGTCATTCTGCAACCGATACTAAATTTTTCATTTGGTCATATATAGAAGCTACATCTTAATCTGAACCGATTTCAGGAAACTTAACACACATCATTCCAGGCCTAATTCATTAGGCTGTGTCAAATTTCGTGCAAATCGAAATATATATAGGGACTTTGGCGCACCATTTACATTAAATCGGACGAAAATATATATGGGGCCTATATCGAAATCTGAACCGATTTTCAGGAAACTTAACACTCATCATTCTAGACCTAATTCAGTACGCTGTGCCAAATTTCGTGGAAATCGAAATATATAGGGACTTTGGCGCACCATTTACATTAAATCGGACGAAAATATATATGGGGCCTATATCGAAATCTGAACCGATTTTCAGGAAACTTAACACTCATCATTCTAGACCTAATTCATTACGCTGTGCCAAATTTCGTGCAAATCGAAAGATATATAGGGACTTTGGTGGACCATTTACATTAAATCGGACGAAAATATATATGGGAGCTATATCTAAATCTGGACCGATTTTCACGAAACTTGGCAGACATCATTCTAGACCTAATTCAATACGCTGTGCCAAATTTCGTGCAAATCGAAAGATATATAGGAGCATTGGTGGATCATTTACATTAAATCGGACGAAAATATATATGGGAGCTATATCGAAATCTGAACCGATTTTTCTCAATTTCAATAGGGTTCATCCTTGAGCCAAATAAGTGAGCTATGCCAAATTTCATCCAAATCAGATCATAAATGCGACCTGCACTTTGTTCACAAAAATACATGGACGGTCGGACATGCGTAAATCGATTCAGAAAGTGGTTCTTTGTTACAAACATATGCACAAAGACATAATATCCTATACCACAGTGTGGTGAAGGGTATAAAAATCCACGCCTTGTGTGGATGCTTGAAAAATATCTAGTTCGAAAAATATTTTGTTTTAAAAACCCCCGCCTTGGAGTTATTTGAAAACCACTTTTTTTCAAATCTATGTGCCAAAATTGTTTTGTGAAAAAAGTTTCACTTTTTTATCAAAAAATAGACACGTTGGAAAATATGCCAAATAAAGAATCACCGATATGTCAATACCAAAAAAAAAAATGTGAGACCCCAAATTAGGTACCCCAACAACAGTTGTGCGTCAAATTTAAACAAGTCTGCCGGAAACCTCAATTTCACCTTTCTGTTGCAACAACAACAACAACCAACGGCCAATGCCAACAACAATGACAATGCCGAATATCCATAACTTAAATCAATATTTACATATTTAAAGCAATCAAAGAAATATATGTATGTATGGAAATTCAAAATGATAGTGAAATTATTATGGGAAGCCAATCAGCTGCAAGAATTCCAAAGCCCCGCACCGAAATCTCACTCACTAATTGTGGTCACGTCGTAACGAAAAAAATAATATTTTTTGTGTTGAAAGGTCTTAACCAAATTTGGTGTTACCTAATTGAGGTTAAATTAGAAATGAATATTCATCAATAAAGAAGAGTGGTATTTTATTTATTGAACAAATGGAGGAGTGGGTGGGAGCGAAGGGGGGAGCCAACACAAAAAATTAGAGTCCAAATCAGAAATGTGTGAAATATAGTTGAGCAGAACTTCGACAAAACAAAAACTATTTCAGAGGTTTTCAACACTTTACCATCAACACATTTTTGCTGCTGCTTCCCCATATTTGAAGTCCCAACCCCCTTCTAGTCCCCCCACCCAAAAAAACTAGTCTAATCACAAACCTAAAGAATGCGTAAGTTTTTTTGGAACTCTTTTTTAAACAAAAATAAAACTTTTGTTGGTGAAATTTTTTCACTTTTGTTTGTTTTGGTGATACTTTGCACTTCATATTTCTCCCTCCCTGGGTTCTTCTTCTTTTCATATGTTTTGTTAATGTTGTTGTTGGATTTTTTTGCTTTCAAGTCTAACGGAAGAAAGTGTATTTTAACCCAGAAAAAATATTGGCTGTTATTACGTTAACAACACAACAATGTTGATTATTAAATATTGCTATGCGAACATGTTTGAAGTTCCATTGTTTTTTATGGTAGCCTACAGTGGGGCCATGATAGGGGAGGTGGGATAATGAAAAGTAGGTAGACCTAGAACGGAGACTTACAAGTATGAAACTGATACTGAACTCGAAAAAATATTTTTTTTTAATTCAAGCCTTAAGGTGGCTTGAAAACCAGTAAGGGAAGTAGTAAAGTCGGACGGGACCGACTATATGATAACCTTCACCACTTTGGGTATATTCAACAGATGAATGCTAAGAGATGTCGCATATTTAAAGGACCAGTAAAATGAAATTGGATCCATAAGCATGTCATTCTGCAACCGATACTAAATTTTTCATTTGGTCAGATATAGAAGCTATATCTTAATCTGAACCGATTTTCACGAAACTTAGCACACATCATTCTCGGCTTAATTCAGAACGCTGATCCAAATTTCGTGCAAATCGAAAGATTTACCTAAAATCGGGCGAAATTATATATGGGAGCTATATCTAAACCTTGACCGATTTTCTCGAAACTTGGCAGACATCACTCTAGGCTCAATTCGGTACGTTATGGCAAATTTCGTTCAAATCGAAGGATATATAGGGACTTTGGTGCACCATTTACCATAAATCGGACGAAAATATATATGGGAACTATATCGAAATCTGAACCGATTTTCACGAAATTTTGCACACATCATTCTAGACTTAATTTAGTAAGCTATACCAAATTTCGTGCAAATCGAAAGATACATAGGGACTTTGGTGCACCATTTACATGAAATCGGACGAAACTATATATGGGAGCTACATCTAAGTCAGGACCGATTTTCTCGAAACTTGGCAGACATCACCCTAGGCTCAATTCAGTACGCTATGCCAAGTTTCGTGCAAATTGAAAGATATATAGGGACTTTGGTGCACTATTTACATGAAATCGGACGAAACTATATATGGGAGCTATATCTAAATCTGGACCGATTTTCACGAAACTTGGCAGACATCACTCTAGGCTCAATTCGGTACGCTGTGCCAAGTTTCGTGCAAATTAAAAGATATATAGGGACTTTGGTGCACTATTTACATGAAATCGGACGAAACTATATATGGGACCTATATTTAAATCTGAACCGAAACTTGACCGACATCACTCTAGGCTCAATTCAATACGTTGGGCCAAATTTCGTGCAAATCGAAAGATTTACAGGGACTTTGGTGCACCATTTTCATGAAATCTGTCGAAACTATATACGGGTGCTATATCTAAATCTGAACCGATTTTCACGAAACTTGGCAGACATTACTCCAGGCTCAATTCAGTACATTATGCCAAATTTCGTGCAAATCGAAAGATATTTAGGGACTTTGGTGCACCATTTACATAAAATCGGACGAAAATATATATGGGAGCTATATATAAATCTGAACCGATTTTCACGAAACTTGACAGACATCACTCTAGGCTCAAGTCAGTACGTTATGGCAAATTTCGTGCAAATCGAAAGATATATAGAGACTTTGGTGCACCATTTATATGAAATCGGGCGAAAATATATTTGGGAGCTATATCTAAATCTGGACCGATTTTCACGAAACTCGGCAGACATCATTATAGACCTAATTCAATACGCTATGGCAAAATTCGTGGCAATCGAAAGATATTCAGGACTAAAGACCGCAAGTCGGGCAAAAATATATATGGGAGCTATATCTAAATCTGAACCGATTTTTCCCAATTTCAATTGGGTTCGCCCTTGGGCCAAATAAATGAGCTATGCCAAATTTCATTCAAATCGGATTATAAATGCGACCAGTACTTTATACCCTGTACCACAGTGTGGTGAAGGGTATAAAAATCCACGCCCTAAGGTAGCTTGGAAAAATATTTAACAAAAAAAATCCACGCCTTAAGAAAACTTAAAAAATATATTTTTTAATTCGTGTCTTAAGATAGATTGAAAAAATATTTCTTAAAAAAATCCATGCCTTTAGGTAGCTTGAAGAAATATTTTTTTAATAAAATCCATGCCTTTAGGTAGCTTGAAAAAATATTTTTTAAAAAATCCCCGCCTGAAGGTAACTTGAAAAAAAATATTTTTAGAAAATCCACTTCAAAAAATTACACGCCTGAAGATTGATTCGAAAAAAATATAATTTAAAATAAACCATTTCGAAAGACCTAATATGACTTCCTCTACTTACATAGCTCTTACCAAATACCTTACTTATGTAATACCATCCACATCAATAACCTATAATTTATGTGGGTTGTTTGCAAATGATGTTGAAAAATATGTTGTCAATCCAGATAAAATCATTTAAACATTTATCACATTTATCATCTTTGAAATACGACTCATTTAAATAGCGGTATATTTAAATAATATGCACATTCACACACACACATACATATATCGATGTATGTGTACACAATTAATTGTTACATTTTGGTTGTCTGTGTGGTTGTTGATTCAACACAATTCAATTTGAAAAAAATGTATATTTCAGATGGAATTTCTCAGGTTTGTCATCGATGAAATCCAAAACCCCCCTTAAACGTCTGCAGCATCACCGCCACTACTACCGCCATCACCACCAACACGTGAATAAAAAACACTTTCTATTTTCGTAAACGATTAATTATTAATAAATGCTAATTTTTGTGAAATCGATATAATCTCAAGCAACAATATCAGAGGGGAGAAG